AACTAATATCTTTAATCTATTTAAATTAGTTAATTAAATCTTATATTAAAATTAAAAAATAATCAATTTTAAGTTTTTAAATTTCTTTAAAAAAGATGATAATTTATTTTAAAGTTTGCCAATCATCAGTTCTTTTGATACCAAAAAAAAAGAGCAAGCTATGGAAATGCATGGCATTTATTGTGTATCACTAAATAAATTTGATTTATTGTTCTCACACAATTACTTTTTAGATTTAAACAACTTGGATCTTAATATTTCTCACTATTCGTAAAAAATTTACTTATTTTTATAATTTATGAAAATTTAATTCAATTGCCATTGCTAAATTTTGGAATATTTATTTGTATCGATATTACTGATTACTAATATACGTCATCTTAACATTCAGAATATGCATAATTTATGTCACCAGAAATAATAAAAACAGCAAATAAAATTTGCTATGAATATGAAAAGTTGTGAAATAATACAAAGACCTTTTCTAGTCTACGTTATCTCTTTTCTAATACTTCTATTACTTTTCAAGTCAGTTTATTTCACAACAAAATTATCACACACCCACGCTGACAAGACAACGCTGACAAAAATATAATACTCCTCCGATTCTAATTATAAGACCCAATTGACTTATTTGAGGAGATTAAGGAAGTAAGTTAAGTTGGTTATTTATAATAAATAAGTGTTGTTATTCCTAAAATATCCTTACTAATTAAGTATATTGGCTAAAACTATCATTATTAGAAAGATTATCTTGGAAAAAAATGCATAAATATAAGAGAGAAAATGAATTGGGTCTTATAATTATGACCAAATAAAAAGTCAAATTGGGTCTTATAATAAGGACCGGAAGAGTAATAAGAATTCAACTTGATGAACTTAATCACAAAATTTAAATATAAGACCCAAAAAATAATAATTTTCGCATTCATTTTCCTGAGGCTCAACATTCTGAGCTCACACTTGGTTTTTCTCTTCATGTATTGAGATGTCTAAGAATTTCAACGATTCATACAATATTGCCCCAAAAAATCGGTTGCGAAGTAACACTATTCAGCCAGAAAACCTTACCCGAACGCTATACAGAAGATTTATTCTTGTCCACTTGTAATGTAGCAACTTTTTGAAAATTTCCACACGCATCTCTTTCATTAAAATGATCTCTGAGGAATTCCACAGCCATGAATGTTAGCGCAGAAGCGGGAACATACCATGTAATCCTAGGGACGCTACCCTTAAACATCCCCTTCATGCCTTCCATAGCCCATATGTTCCGGATCGCATCCAACCAACCACTATACCTAAAACAACAGAACAAAACATAATTACCAGCATTAAATTAGCTCAGTCCCCCAGAAACAAGAATAATCCCCAACTCCGTGATTATTCTATGGAAAAGAATAATATAGGCATTCTCATGACAAATTCGGACCACGATAAATTGAATGAACAGACACAGAATTGACCTGCTACCTTATAGCTGAACCCTGCACTTGCAATCTTGTTTTGATGACATCCAAGGGAGTAGTGAGATAAGCACTAAGACCTGAATAAGATCATTTCGCACCACATATTAAACCTGAACAATTTGCTAATTGAAGGAAAGCATAGGACATACCACCAGCTAAGCCTCCTAACACAAGTCCCTCTAAAGAACTGTTAACATGCCAATTCGAGCTTGATGTCCATCTTTGCTTCCCATATTCTGTCACTTCTTTCATAGCTTCATAAAACATGACCTATAAGTAAAAACGCTTTGTTTCAATGGACGGGGAAAAAAAAGCAATAAAGCATGATAAAATTTCTGGTTCTTTTTCAGGAGTCAGGAAATGGGACATGAATCTGCTAAAACAATGGATCATGTATATACCATCAGTCCAGCAAATGGGACATCCCTTGCCAGTGTAGACAAGTATCTGCCAGAAACAAGAAAAGGATTTATATTTATGCATGAAATCAAGAGAAAAGAAAGAACGAATTCAGACTTCTATATTGACCAACAAGTAGATGCCCCTATCTCTTTGCATGTGTGAAAAGCCTCAAAACCTACTAGTAAACTGCTCTGGGTCTTGTGAAAAGCAAAATATATGCATAATCATGACATTGCAAGAAGGGGGTAGCTTGGTTTGTGCCCAAGATATAATGTTGAAAAGTTCACCACATCCAACAATTTTCCAGACGAAAAAGGTGGCCTCCAATGGCAATATGATAAATAATGCTAGATCGCCCCATTAAAATAAGAGATCTATTCTCGTTACCCTGCATACAAACCCCTTAAGCCCTGCGCTTTCCATATTGAGTAACCAGCACGAAACATTCCTGTGTAGTAACCATATATTTGAGTGCTAGGCTTCATCGAAATTCTATCTTTCATAATGACAGAATTCCAAGATGTGGTTGTGCCTTGAACCTGCATGCGTAGCTTTATCACTTCGCATGGAACATACACAAAAGAACCGAGTGTATCTCCTGAAAGAATGGACAACAAGGCAGAGATTGAGCCCTTGGAAGTATACTCAAATGCTCATGAGTGTAGATGCATAAAATACACAATTACAAGCACTGGTACCAGCAACAAGAACATTATGACATCATACAGCAGCGGAGTGGAATGATGAAATACTAAAACATGTTCCAGACATGAGATTGAACAGCAATTCACAAGTTATTATAGCAATACATAACGACAATTTGTGACTTGAAGATATGTTACAGGTCCTTTCCTAAGCATGTCCATCAGTGTCTCCTGCAAAATATACAACTTTTGAAACTCAAGATGGTATAAAAATAGCTGGAAGCATGGAATCCAGACTTACCAACAGCTCCAGCAATGAAATGTGCCCAGTGGCCACCAAGACCAGGGTGCCTGTCCTCAATCCACTTTTTAGTGGACTCTATGACACCAAAATATGTTGCACCAGTAGCAAGTGACCCAGTAACACCTGGTGTTATACCCCTGTAAAAGCCTGCACAATTCAAATCAATCATGGAGGACAAATATTTACAAAGCACATAGCCCAGGGTGTACAAACCTTTATGTCTAACAATCTTTTTCAGAAAAATATCGAGCATATATTCATCAGTAAATTAGCATGATGAAGATTTACAATCAAAATCAACAAAATTATCAACATATTTTATAGCCAAAGCATTGACAATTATAACTCAAAAAGGCATACCTCTTAATCCATCAGCCTGCCAAACAGACCGCACCATCTGTAGTATGTTCTTCTGATTCTAGATGATAGGAATAAAATTCCAAGACAAAGATTAGCTAAAACTAAATCATATGACACACCAGCGTCCATGTAGCTTTTGTTGCTAAGCTTACAAGAGACAATACATCCACACCAATGTTTGAACAAGCATCAATAACTGTAATGTCTAAATGAATTTACAAGCTGTCATTTTACCTGAATTCCACCAATAATTGCTTGACTTTGCATGCGTGTTTTAATGGTATCCACTGGATGCATCATTCCTTCCCCAAAAGCCCCAGCAATAGCTCCCCAAACAAACTCTCTCCAGACTTCAATAACATCAATATAATACAAATAAGAAAATTTATTCTTTTTGATTGGATTTCAATAAAAGGGGAAAAAATGTTCGCATGACAATAAGCTCTGCTTGGAAGAAATGAAAACAAGACAGCATGAACACGCATTTATTATCTATTGAGATGAAATAAATGCCTTCAAAGGAAGTCATTTTTCATTCTTTGCACCTTCCAAACAAAGCCAAAAATAAATTTCACGAACCACAGCAAAAGGGCCAGCATCTTTCCATGCGGTTTCTAGAATACCAGATCATTGGACTTCATGTCATATTATGAACACATTTTTCACAAGATAAATAATGTCCTCAATAACTTAAAAAGAAAAATAATACATACTTTACGCCAACTAGACAGGCATATCTAAATTTCCCTCAGATTACTTAATTGACCATCAGAATGGAAAAAGCAAGGACAACCAAACACTTTAAAGTCATGTAGCACATCAAGCCACCAAGTGATCTGAATTGTAAATATCCCCAAATTAGCATGTGAACACAACATCGATTTTGCTCCCCACAAGAAGTGATTTCAACACCACTCGAACATTTCTCCCAGAGAAGCAAAGTAACTGATGTACCAGCTTAAAAATGATCACGGTAATGCATCTATTCCCCAAGAAAGATATTTATGAGAATAACCAGCGCTACTTCTAGTGAAGCTTAATACGTTAATTCTTGTCCCATGAGACTGAAATAATAAATAAATCATTCAAATCTTTCCTCCACTTTTGGAACAACTTATAACTAAACTAGCGCATCCAGTTGTCTCTACTTTCTCTTTTTCATTAATCATGGCCGTCGAAATTTCTTCATGAACCTAAAATTAGAGCCACTTCGAAGTCAGTAGCTTACCAAAGAAATGAGCGTGAGGAGCCTGTATTCTCCCGGAAGATGAGTTGTCAGCCCCCATGGCAATAGCAGAGGCAATGCTCAACTCCCACCTTCTAGGGTTTTAAAAGCGCGCGCTCATATATTTCTTGAGACTTCGGATTACAGTTGTGGCTTCCGGAAATGAACGCCACGATTTATAATTTTTTTTCTCTCGCTTTGTTTCTTTCTTATATCAGCAATTGAGAATCACGCATCGCAAAGGAACCTAAAATAATGTTAAGATTTTTTATTAAAAAAAATGTAAGTAAATGACCGCAACTTTATAAGCTTATATAATTAATGCATCTTGACGCGCTTAGCAAACTCAAATGCACTAGTATCTTTAATCCGAAAGTTTTGAGGATAACTTAGTTGTAAATTATAAAAAAAAATGAATTCTAATAGCAAAAATTTTGGTTGCCATTTTTAGAAAATCAATTATAAATATAAATTAGAAAAAATATTAAAAAATTAAAATTACTAAATATCAGAACAATATTAATTAACTCGCCCAAGGAAATAAATTCCCCTTCAAGAAGGCGCGTTGGGTATCATCTTGGCTTCACTAACGATTACCCGCAATTCTTGTACTTCCTCAAACCCTTCTTGGGCCGGTGGCAAGAAAACCCCTCTTCTTCTGAAGAATTACTCTGCAAATTCTGGGCGCTCAGATTATTGCTATTGCGCTCCTTCACCATTACAAAGAAATTTAACTTGAGACTCAAGAAATCCTTATTTCTATCGACACCGACTTTCACTCTCTGGTCTCTATATAAACACATTTGGGTCTATCTTCTTCATATAACCCTCACTGATATTATGTCCCTCTTTACTTACCCGCCCTTCACCCCTCTACCGCACACCGGCTATAGTTTCACTGTAAACTCCGAGATTTCAGAAGAAGACAAGCCAGCCAGTGTTAACTCTTCGGAGGCCATAATCGAGCTTCGCATACGACAAAACTACGCTCTGATCTTGGAACCCATGAAAGGCCGAAGAGTCAGCCTGGACGACCGCTATGTCAGTTCGCCGGAGCTCACTTTGCGGTTCAAGATTCCTCTGGGGCTTCTTGTTGATAACGGCCCTGCTTCCTTGCACCGGCGAGATTATATCTTTTCGGCACAGCTGGCGTCGTTGCCGATCAGTGCCGGTTTGGGCCAGTATCTGAAACCTCATATTCAAAGCCACGCCGTTTTACTGGCTCAAGAGACTGGCCACAGAAGAGACTTCAAGATGATTTTCCATGTCGTGATTTCGAAGATTGACTTGGCCGACGCGGAAGAGTGCGAAAAAATTCGGAGAGGCTGGTTGAGCTCCAGTCGAGGAAGTGAAAATCTTGATGGGCCTTTTGGTTTTCAGAATTTGATGTAGAGAAGTAGTTTCTTCTTTGGCTGCAGCTTCCTGTATTTTCTGCTCTAACCTAACTTTTGAAATATGAATGGTAAGATCATACGTTTAATTCATATTATGAGCAAGGAGTTCTCATCAATGTGAGATACTTGCTGCGTTGAGTCGTGAGAATTATTTCCCAGAAATCAGCCAGTTATGGCTTTTGAATTTCGATCATCGTCAAGCAGAAGGGATTTTTTGTCCCTCCGAAGTCCAAGGGTGGTAAAATGTAAAGCCAAAAGAATGAAAAATCGGGTGAGACATTTTGGATAGAATGAAAACTATAATTTTATAGTATATAAATAAAAAAAAATTATCTCATTTTACAAAAAAATATTTTTAAATGTTTCCAAATACCTTTTCAGTCTAAACGAGTGTTTGGATAGAAACCAAACATGATTTCAGAAGTGTTTTTACGGATTACGAAGTAAATATGTGAAGGAGGTTACCTTGTTTTACGGAAAAGTACTTCTGAAACCACGGTTTTGGAACACCCAAACAGGCCCTTAATGTTTTCATGAACGTGGGCTCCTCGCTCAACGTTTGCAGTTCAGACTTAATTTGGTGGATAGTATGATTAGCTAAAAATAACTATTTGAAAATTTGTAGTTACAATTCACGAATCATTCTTGATATTAATCTGCTGAAAATTGTGGCGTTTTAAAATCAGTATATGTTCAGAAATATCTGAGTTGCACTTTCTATCATAGAAGCATAGATCGCACTAGACGAGCTTCTTCAAATTCTCTTTTGGTGTAATTAGATGGTGATGTTCAATATTGTATTATGTCTCCTGCTTGTTCAAACTTTCTTTGAGTATAATTTGCCGGTGATCTGCCTTTTTTTTTTTTTAATTTGTCGCTGTAATTTTATTTTTTAGTCTCTCTTTTTTACAAAACCAAAACCTAGAAAACAGCGAGAGTGTGATGCGATGCCTGCTCAGTGCTCGGTCCTCCCTCCTTACTCCTTAGTCAACTTACTTTATTTGCATTTCGATTTCTGTTTGCTTTTGTATTCTCTCATTCCTCCCTCAATGAAACTTGCCTTTTCTATTGGTTGAAATTTGATGCGACGTGGATATGACACCCTGCGCTGTTGCGGCCTACGTATGAGCGCCTGCACCGATCTGCAAGGAAAAGGCTTGGACTTGGGAGGAATTGAGGAAAATTCAAATTTCCAAATATTTAAAAACTTTTTACTCGTTTTAAATAAAAATAAAAATTGGAAGTGAAGAAAATATAGACAAAGCTAACATAGTCTGATATTTAAAGTTTTAGTCCAGATAAGGTTATTTATTCTCAACTCATCAACAGATTATGTTAAGACTCTTAGTTTTGAATACAAGATCTAGGATAACCGGAAAGATTGTCACTAAACATTCGTTCACGAATCATGATCAAATTTTATTTTCTAATGCACAGGGTCCTCTTAAAGAGGCAAGTGCAGAGCATACTCAGAATCTCTAATGACAGAAGAAAGACATTATAAGTGGGGCTTTCAGAAGAAGAGAGAAATTTAGAAAGAACTCATGAGGAAAGCACACTAGTATTATACAAGGAAGTTGATACAACTCATTCTGCTCGTAACTGGAGGCAAAGTGGGGTTTATATAGAGGTTCGGTACCATTACATGACAAAGTCCTAATAGTAGATATCATTATGACGGGTAGTTGTCATAATGACTTGTTATTTAATAATCACAACCACCCTAATAATGACATAACTACCAACTACTCTGATAATGACAACTACTTTACGTATTACAAGAAGACGAAATAGACTACAAGACGGACTACTTTAAAAGTGGATGGTGATATAAAGTAATCTTCTAGCAGGTCCTCCTAGTTTTCAGAGTGACATAAAATGAGATTTTCTGATGATGGTGTTCCCTAGTCTTTGTAGATAGGTTCATGGCTAGGGGACAGGTTCATGATGCCTTCTGGGTTAGGATCATCTGAATCATAGTGTCTCCTTGTACAGTAGAATTCTTCAAGTACTGCGAGCCGGGTCTCATCATCATCATCTTGGTTTGGATCCTGGGATTCTCCTGCAATGAATGGAAGTTGTGACTAAAAACTTGGCTGAGGGAGATAGAGTCCTTCAGGCTGAGTGAGTTGAATCTATGAGTCTCTTGATAAGGGTCTTGGGAGGTTTCTGTTGGTAGAGGGACTTGTGACCTATTTGGTGGAGGTTTGATAACACTCATGATGAAATCTCTTTGGAATTCTTCAAGTGTTGTGCTGCTGGCTAGCAGTGAACTTAGAGGAAAAGGTTCAAGAGAAAGACATGAAATGTCTTCCCCTGTATTTGGTTGATTAAGTGTAGTTAATGTTTTCCTAAATTTCTCTATTAACAATCTTTCTTTTCTTGGCCATGAGGGAGTGGCAACTTGGAGAAGCGGATGGTTGTCTGTGTAAAGCCTTTAGGCAGTGTTTATACCACTGTTTCTGAAAAAAGTATACAAACAGAAAAATCTCTTTTGTTTGGGAGATGGCAAGTCTCAAACATTATGATCATTGAGAATTTTCTAAAGTTTTCCTCTCTAGTAGAGAAGAGGAGCAATCATCTCAAGGAGTGTGATAAGGGGAGAATTTTTGTTTATGGAGTCATTCAGATGGTCATGTATGACTATGGTTGAGAATGCTATGGCACAAGTATAATTGGTTGAGAAGGACCAAATGTACCATAAGAATTCCTCTGGTATGGGTCCTTTGATGATGGGTACGATGAGGTATGGAGCATTGGCATCAAAGTGCTAAGGATATGGGTGAATTCCAGTATTTACGAGAAGATGCTGGAGCCAGTAGAACATAGTACTTCTGGCAAAGTTTTGGGCATTTGTTGGGGATATAGGATAGGATCCAAGAGGGAAAATAGTGACTCTCATTCTTTGAGGCATTCTTGGTTTAGGGATGGTTAGGATGAAAAGGAGTTGGTGTTTAGAGAGTGACAAGAGTTTTGGAAGCTGAGAAACTTTCTGAGGTCTTAGGAGGAAATCTGCGATAGTGTTCTAGTGACCTTTAAGGTGATGGACAGTGAATTTATAGTGAGAGAGCCAGCTTTCCATCGGAGTAACTGGCTGTCTGGTAAAATCTTTCCCTTAGGATTAAGCATTCTGAGAAAAGACGTATTGTCCATTTTTACTCTGAATTGATAAGGACTGATTATCTCTATATGATTTGCTAAAAGAAATAGGTCATGAAGATCTCCTCCCTAAACAAAAGCCAGATCCAGTGATTCCTGTTATTCAGCAATCCATCTCGTGTATACCAACGATGGATCTGTATGAGTAGGATTTTCCTCCACTTGAAAGAAGAACTAATAGAGAAACAAAGGTTACAGCAGAACCTTTCTCTGTCCTAATAGAAATTACTCCTACCGGTGAGGCTGGGCCAGTTTCAACCATAGAAGAAGTTCTTAACTGGCAGACTCAGAATGCAATCGATCAAAATAGAACTCTGTTAAAGATTGATTTAAAAGTTGACCTGCTGACTCTCAGAACTGATACTTTGACAAGCAGACTTGACAAATCTCTGATCAAGTTAAACAGCTTTATATGACCTTGTCTTTTTAGGCTTATCAACTGGATGCAGATCTGAAGCAGTTTATCGAGATAGGATACATTGGACCAGAATTTACCAGGAAAGAGCAAGAATTGTCACAAATCCGAAAGGATTTGCAGAGAATTGAGCTGGATATTACAAAAGATCATTCACAAACCATCTATGACCCTTTATTCATTTTAACCCTCTAGTTTCCAAATTCCTAAATACATGACATCACCTCCTTCTTATCTCAGAGAAACTGATTACAGTAAGGTTTTCAAAATGTCTTATCCCATTTTAAGATGATCAAGAAAACCTCAACCAATTCTTCTACCTGTACAACCAAATCCTTTTCCTAGACCTTCAGTAAGACCACCTCATTTCCCTTCACCTGAAAGACTTTCTCAACCATCATCCTCATACACTAAACCCATTGAACCAACACCATCCTCCCAAGGAGTTATGATAAGAACTCTACCATCATCTCCACCAAAACACACTTCTCCTCCAGACAGGGAAAAAAGAAAAGAAGTTGTTAATCCAAACAAAACCATAGCCACTCTCCAGTTCTTAAATAGAGATCAATCATCCTTAGATGACAGCTTTGAAAATGAGTCTGATCCTTCTGTTGAGTATAGTTCTAATTCTGACTCTGAAACATATCATGCTGATATTTTCAAAGTAGCAATGGTCCAACCAGATCCTACAGTTGAAGATCTTTTTGATGAAGAACCATTTGTCCCTGATACATCCGAGCCTAAGAGAACATATTACAGGTCAACTACAGGTCTATGGTTCACTTTTGATGACCTCCCTCTGGAAAAATAGGGAGACAGACTCCATGAGTTCTGCGCATGGATTGATTTGCAGCTTGCCAGGCATAATACAAATCTTGAGGAAGTTCTTATAGAATTTCTCTTAAGACTGACTGGAACATTAAGAGAATGGTTTCAAAACCTCAGTGATTACCAGAAGATAGCAGCTATTAGAGTTGATAATGCAAGAACTCTTCTGGGACTCATTCACAAGGAAGTCATTGGCGATTTCCAGATCATTGACTAAAGGCATTGTCAAAAATACTTTGAGATGAAATATTGTTCCTTGGATAAAAGAGACTTGCAAAAGCATTTCTAGAGAATATTTGAAAAATACTATATGCTCGGAAGAGCTAATGATGTCAATCTCAGACATACTTTTATTGCCTTTCTTCCAGATGAACTGCAACCAGAACTTTATAGAACTATCAATGCACTTCATAGAAATATGTCTGGTATTTCTATAAGAGAAATATATCAGTTGGCATTGGCAACTATGGACAAGCTCTGTGAACAACAGAAATTCTTCAAAGGAATGTTGAAAGGACAGTCAAAACTGAAGCATGCTTGCAAAAAACCTCATCTGAAGATAAAGTGCAAAGACCATAAGGATTGCTCTTGTTCTACCAAGAGAAAATCTCATTATCGTCGATTCAGATATCCAAAAGGTTCTTATTCCAAA